GGGTGTTGTGCACGAACAATGAATCATGGAACACTTCATCTGGAACTAATGATGTAATGTATGGGGATTAACATAAGAATAAAAAAAAAAAAAACATTTTTACCAAACCTTGTAAATTTTCAATTAATTGTTCAGATTTACTTAGCATGGAGACAAAGCTCTTAAGCAGCAAATTCTTCACAAATTAAAAGTTGTTTCTTCTATTAACTGTTGAAAGGCATCTGACTTTAGAGATAAATTTATATTTTAAAAATATGTGTAGCCTAAGGAAAATATTGCATGACATTTAAGAACCAAAGTCAAAGAACCGTTTACTATAAATAAGCTTCCTGGGAAATTGTCTGAACATTTTAAAACACAAACAAAAATTTCAAAACTTAGTAGCTAAGGGATAAAAGCTAGGTTATCGCCAATTTTTTAAAGACTCTTTCATTTAGTTATCTTAGAATCTCAAACAGATTCCCCACTGAGTAAGGAGCCCCACATGGGCTCAATCCCAGGACCTCAAGATTATGACCTGAGCAGAAATCAAGAGTCAGATGCTTAATCTGAGTTAGCTACGCAGGTGCTCCAGCAATTTTTTTTTCCAGACATGCTAATTCATTCTTATCCTTCATATCATTCTATATAGAGCTTCTCGATACCTCTGTCCTATTTCTTCTTGGATGCTTGTTCCGATTTTATTCCAGCTGTACCCCAACAGACTGACCTCTTTGGACAAGGCATGTCCACTGCTGCTCCTGTTTTCACCTCATGCAACTTTCCTGTCAGCTTCCTGCAACAGCCATGGCTCCCAGCAGCCATGGGCATCAGCCTTCCCCAGAACAACATGGCTGTCTTTCCTGCACTGATCAGACAGAGTTTGTTCCAGAGAGATGGGGGAGGGAAAGAAGAGGAATGGAAAGGGACAAAGGGAAGGAGGGATGAGGGGGGAGGGAACAGGAGGGAGAAAAAGGAGGGTTAAGGAATAGATGTATTGGTTGCTAGTCTGCCATCCATGTTCAGTTTCTTACTTTTCCCACTTAAAAACCCTGCCCAGAATAATTTCTTTATATTTGAAAAAGGAAAGAATCCCTTGAATAATGATAAGTGACATAATATGCGCTAAACTGATTTCCGATGAGAAACTGATTTATCGCCTACATTTCAGAGCCCTGGGAAAGTTGACACGGAGCGATAAATGGATTTCAGGGCAGGCAATGAATTTCTGAAGTGCATTTCAGAAGCCCTGCTCCAAATCATAAATAAAAGCAGGCTGACTACAGCCTAGCACGGATGACCAAGACAAAACATGCCATCCAGGACCCAGTCAACACCCTCCTCACAACGCCCAAAGTGGATGACCAGATTTTCTAGAAAGATGTTTCCCAAGGCAACTTCCCCAAGAGTTCATCAATTAAAAAAAAAAAAAAGTTCAGAACACAAGAGATTGAAAACAATTACTCAGGGGGAAGAAATTATTGCAGGGAGTTTGAAGAATAGAAAAAGAATAAAACAGTCTTCAGTAAAGTTAGCGGCAAGAGTTTAGTTTCAAAATACACCCACTTTTCTCATCCCCGCAAGACTGCACCTTCCACCCTGAACCACTTACTAGCAACCCCCACAATCCAAAGGAACCGGGCACCTGGTGGTTATGTTTAACCAATACTTAATCATCTAATTCCAATGCTCCTGTTCGAATATGAACTCTGAAGATAAGGTGATGGGAAGAGTGACTACAGGGAAGGTGAAGGCCAGCAAAGAGAAGTCACACAGCACCCAACAGGAGAGAGAGAAGCCCCCACCCACAGATCTTCAGCTCCAGCCATTTCTTCCTCGGAAGGAGAAACTTGGTCAAGAAACAGAACCTATCTTTGGACAGTTCATAGCAAAAGTGAAACCACAGATTGACACTTACATTTCATTTGCTTGGAGATGGACTTATTAGGCTCAAGCCAGTGCTAGGGAGAAAACAAAAAAAAGAGAGAGATTATAGGTCAAATTGTTGAACCATGTGATGCATACTTAATAACTAAGAGAAATTTAATATAGTCTTTTTCCAAAGTACAGTCTTGGTTCCCATAAATATTTCCTCAAGGTTCCACCTTCTGAAGATCAATACAAACAATTCCATAATGAAAATACAACAGGCAAGGTTATAAATTACTGAGAATTAACAGTTAGAGTAGTACTTGAGTCCTACTAAGAGAGAAGAACTAGGGAGAGAACATGCACTTCAATGGGATATTCTCATGGCTCTAGTGGACCCTAGGTGATGGAGCTCCATTGCTCTGGGCAAGCCACAAATGGCTAAAGACTTGGACATCCACGATCTCAAAGAGTCACAGTCCAAGACAGCTTCAGCACCCCATCCCCCTGCCAGGTCGCCCCTGTCAGGTGAACAGTGGGCCAAGCCAGCATTAGCCCCATCACACAGAGGCAATTCTTCTCTTATAGTAGGGAGGAACAAGTGATAAATATCTTACTTCAGAAGATTGAGATCATCTAGAAGAAAAACCAGCTCTATCACAAAACAAAGAAGCCCAAAGACCTGGGTAGCTCAAAATGGTGTTAGTGACAGGCATTCGAAGCAGATACATGCTGATCCCAGCAGCCAGCTCGCTCCACACTGTGAGTGGAGGTCATTCCAACATGTTGAGAGCCAGGCAGCTTTTAATATCCCTAACCATTGACGTCCCTAAAGCCACTTAGGGCATGTCAGGAAGCATTGCTCTATACACCTGCAGTTTATAAAGACAATAGGAGTGCCATTGGTATCCATCAGGAGGTCAGAGAGCCCTCACTTACCGGGCACCCCTCACACTCAATACTAGAGAGGAAAGGAGGACGCTTACCATACCTTGAGGCTTATACCCCATTTGTGTCATCCAGTTAAGCCTCAGAGTTCCGTAGTGTCCCTACCGTTTGATATAAATGCATAACCAGAAAGTCAAAGAAGAGCTAGCCTATGTTGAGTGCTTCCTAAATGCCAGGTGCTACTCTAAACATTTCCATGGGCCATCACTACCACCCCATTTACAGATGAGAAATTAGGAGGCTCAGAACACTAGACAACTAGCCTAAGGTCACCCAGAGATTAAGTGGTGAAACCAGCGCACGGTGGGATTCCAGAGCACAGGCCCTTCACCTTGGCCATGTGGCCTCCCCAAAGATCAGTCTGCTCTAAAACATTATTCTCGACAAACATTCCTTCTTTCCCCAGGAGCTGAAAAATGGAATGGTCAAATCAAGAGTTTCCAATCCAGGGTGTCTGATCACTACAGTCTTCTAAAACAAGAATAGGGTTTTTTTTAACCATGTCAATGTCATGAAGAGTTGGACAGAAAACCACACATTTACCTCTGATGTATTGCACAAATGGACACGGCAAGTTTCTTTGCTTCTGATCAAAATTAGGTCTGTTCATTTGGAGAACCTGGTTTTTCCTCCTTTTTTCATTTTTTTAATTGTGGTAACATACACAACATCAAATTCACCATCCTAACCTTTTTAAGTGTACAATTCAGTAGTATTAAATGCATTCATAATGGTGCGCAACCATCACTACCATCCTTCTCCAAAGCACTTCCACCTTGTAAAACTGAAACTCTAGCCCTAATAAACAGTCACTCGGCCCACCCTTTTCTCCAGGCCTTTGGAGACCATCATTCTACTTTTGGTTATCTCCTTCTAGTCAGAAGCAATGCTTGGCATTTACACAGTTATCTCTGAACAGTGGAAAAACATATTGATTGGGCCACTTACTAGCTGTATAACCATGTACAAAATGTTTAACCTTGCTCTCAATTTCTGCAACTATCATATGGGAATAGCAGTAATACCTACTTGCACGGCTGTTGCAAGGATTTTAGAAGTTAATAAAAATAAACATGACACACTTAAAATGCCTGGCATGTGAAAAATATCAATAAATGTTTGTTTGCTGACGCTGTTTTTACTTAATAAGTACAGTAGACCATTTAATTAGTAGACCATATCCCATGGAGGAGAATAATAAAAGGGGCCTCTGATGATTATTTTTTTAGAAATAGGATAATTTAGAACTAAGGCAAGAAAACAAATACCAACTGAGATCAATACCTACTGCTCTTGTCTCACAAAGGAGAATCACTAGTCATTTGGCCAATAATGTCTGAAATGCATTTTCCGAATTCTCTTTGCTTGGCATCATTTGAACTCCTTAGCCCTTCTCTGCCTAACTTCAACCTGCCTTTCCTCCTCCTCTCTGCCTCCAGGGATGACAGGTACATTTCATTTTTATATGCCCATATCAGTTAGTTGGTAGCAATCTCCCAGGGCCATGAAGAAGGATCAAAGTCTCAGTGAGAATGAGTGCCATGATGGATTGGCTGTGTCTGCCATGGAGGGGTAGGGAACATGGAAGGTATGCCTGCAAAATATTTGCCATCTGTGCCCTAAGTAAGCTATTTACTCTAAATGAATGACTACTTTGTCCTACGAAATACACCCTGCAGTTTCTGATGGGTTCTGACCTTCCTCCTCCCCTTGGCCTATTCACACCTTACCCTTGCCTCTCAAACCTCATGTATTTAATGACATACATCTACAGTGTGACCACTACATACTTTTCTACCAGGACAACTATTCTTCTGCAGTGGGGATAGTCATGGGGTATAGAGCCCTAAGAAAAATAAGCCAGCATTAGTCATGTTTCAAGGGATTATAGTAAATCATTTCTTTGGACAGGGTCAAGCTCAGTTTGTGAGCATTTATTAAAATTTAAAACTCTGACTGGCCTATGGCCCCACAATTCCCTTATTCCCCAATTTGCCCACATGAACACAGAGGAACATAACAAGGATTCTCACTGCAAGATTATATTAAATTATAAAACATTAGACTATTAATGGCCATCATCAGGAAAATGGTAAATAACCTGTCATCTGTTCATATTCTAGAGGATTCTTCAGTGTATTATAGGAGGTAGATCTTGATGGGTAACATGGTTAGATCTCTAAAAACACACTGTGTGATGAAAAAAGTGAACTGCAAAATTTATAACTATGGCCACAGTTCTCAAATCATGCACTGAAGCGCCCCAGGGAAAAGGAGCCATTCTAGAAATCTGTCAGATACCCACTGTGCAAACTAGCAGCTCAAGGAAGTTCCCAGCTCTAACATTAGATCATGCTATATTTCTTTTGATGTCATACTTTTTGCAACGCTGGGTTTTTAGCGGTTGCTGTGGTAAAAAGCAAGTACCATGTGCGAGGCAATGAGTATGGCAATATCTATCTGATCTGGTCCTGGAATCTGAGGAGCCAGGGGCTGCCCGACAGGTGCCCACATCCTGTTCCCAGGTAATTGTGGTTAAGAATGAACTGGAAATACTATTTTCATGTAGGTCATGTTTTAAATGGCCACTAAGCTGTTAGGACATAAATACTAAGTTTGTTGTCCCTAACTCTTATTAGGTAGAGCACCATGAAATAAGTACTTTTGACCTAGGGCCCCATGAAATAATTACTAAGATACTAAGAGAGCCATAAATCAACAAAGTTTGGGAACCTCTGAGCTATGGTATCATATAATTAATGTGTTTTCTTTTTTAAGTAAAAAGTACAAAACACTACCCTATATTTTCAAAGAATACATAGTAAGCATCTAAATGTATTTTTAAAGATCTGAAATGATACACAATAAACATAGCAGGGAGAAAACAGGAATTTAGAAGTGTTACTCAAAGGAAACCATGACTTCTGTTTTATCTGTGATGTTTTAGCTTATACTTTTTACATGTATTCACCCATTACATGAATAATAAAATTCAATTTAAAAAAAAAGGAAGCTAAGTTCTACTCAGAGGATAAAGATGAATTTTTATGTAGTTTAGACTCAAGACAAAGAATTTTGTACATAACAGGGAGATGCCAAGTCCAGCTAAGCCACCAGCTCTGCGTTCAAATCCCAGTTCTGCCACTTACTAGTGATGTGACCTCCAGCATGTTTCTTCCTCTGTCTCCCCACTTACAGCATCACTGTGAGGTTTAAGTAGGTTAATGCATTAAAGCAGTCCTTAGAACAGAGCTTAGAGCCTAGTTAAAGCTCAGTAAACACCAGCTGTTCCTATCTTCTCTGCATTCACTCAGACACTCCCAAGTTGGTGCAATGGCCCCTCTTGGTGAGCCCACCTCTTTCCCTCTCTTCCTCTCACACTCCCATCCCATCTGCCTTCTGCTCTACATGAAAGGTAATTCTCCTCCCCTTTTTCCTTCTTCCTTTTAGAGTTGTGAGTTGGGCAATGAATTCAAGTCTGTACGACACCAACAACTCCTGCTGTTACTATATGTACAGATGGATTACACGCCGGTGAGAAAGAAACAACCAGGATGCTGTGTGCTTAGTAATTAGATCTGAGGCTCAGAACATTTACTGCATTGCTATTTTCCTTGCAATTGCTACTTGGAATATATGCTAGTTGTGTTTTTTTTGTTGTTTTGTTTTGTGTTTTAAGTCTGTTTCCATACTGGAAATGGAAATTCCCTGAGAGAGGTAGAAAGAAAAGCCTGCCAACCAAATATCTGAATTTGCGGCTAGTTTACTATAGCTGAAACCTTCATTTTCTCAACTTTCATTTAGAATAGGAATTCCAAAGACTAAAGAAGCTAAAATCCGGGTGCCTGGGTGGCTCAGTCGTTAAGCGTCTGCCTTCGGCTCAGGTCATGATCCCAGGGTCCTGGAATCGAGTCCCGCATCGGGCTCCCTACTCAGCGGGAAGCCTGCTTTTCCCTCTCCCACTCCCCCTGCTTGTGTTCTCTCTCTCACTGTGTCTCTCTCTGTCTCTGTCAAATAAATAATAATTTAAAAAATCTTAAAAAAAAAAAAAAAGAAGCTAAAATCCAATCAGTGATTCTACCTAATGAGCTTAGGAAGTAAGATGAACCAGAGGATGCATGCCCTGATCTGTTTTCTCCCTGTT